ACTCTTTGTTTTTTTTACCATCTTAAAATATGAAAATTGAAGTTGGGTGATATGGTGGAAAACATTATTAGCTTAGGGGAAGAAAATCATTAAATCTTCCTCGTTTTAAATCGAGTTAAGAATGAGATAGCAATACGACCACAATAATTGATCACAATTTAAATAACGTTACATAATACACAAATCCTATTGGGGGAGGGGGTGGCCCGATAACCTAACCTGGTTGTGCCACTGATATAACTCAACATGACACTTAAATAAATGTGCATTTACTTTTTTGTAATTTAAAGTTTGGTAATTTGATGCCATCAATGTCCAAGTCACTGTCGATGGATTTATAAATAAATCTGGTTTATACATAGACCTCATAGCTTTACCATTGACATCATCACAATTTCGCCTCAAAACAAATATTATTATTATTATTATTTCTATTTACGAAAGAACTGAAAACATATTTCTAGGTACCTCATTTAAAAAAAAAACGTGTTAATATAAATGTTATTTTTTTAGTTTAAGAGTACAGTTTAAACAAGAGGGAATTCGTAATTCTCAAGTCAGTTTCTTATAAAAGGTTCAACGAAGGTACTTCTCTGATTAACTATGAGTGTATTTTGATTTTAGATGCCTATAGTAAGTTGCAGGACAGAACGTAATTACTAATATCTCTTGGAAGAATTAACATTTATTTTCGTTTGGTTTAATGTTTATGTACTTAGTACTTTATATAATTTATTGTATCTAAAATTAATAATATTAAAGGTTCTTTTTGGTATCTAATTTTAGGTAGCTACTTCTATTATTATTTTTTATTTAACAATAAGTATTTAAGTGATGAGTAACTCAATTTTTTAATTGAGCTTTAGTTTTTTATACGACAAAAATCCGTTTTCAAAACAACCTAGTAAAGTAGCCAAAGAACTGCTATATTTTTACAAAATTGAAATCGAACCATCCTAAGTAGACAACATTTCGTTAGGGTTTTTAGTCAAAACCAGATCGCTTTCATTGGCTTTAAAATATTTTGTTATGTGACTTTGTATAAGAAAATTCTCAAATATTTGCTAAATCAATTTTAAATACTGCTGTACTAACCATTGCATAAACCATCCAAACTTTGACTCGATTGCTCGTTTAGGATTGATTTTGAGATTAGATTCATAGTCGCAAGGTAGAATGTTATCATAAATGAGTTTCTGCAAACATGTTTAAGTAAAGTAACCTCAATAAACATATCATTATGTTGTATAAGACATTCGACATTATATTGTTATGTAGTAAATATTAAGTAATCCTATTAGTATCTATTTTAATATTTTATTTAGCTAATAGTTATCATAGTATTTAACACTCTCCCGCTTTCTAAAAAACTTACACTTGTTATATTTTGTTTGCTTATTTGGGAGCTAACATCACTTTTGTACGTTACTGGCCAATCAAGGTCTTCATACGATTCTAATGTTGTTTGGGATCGGAGATGAGATTCACTTGGTTTAGGCTTTCGCAAATCTGTTAAAACGACACATTTGTTATCAGATTATTCAACTTATTTATTCGATGTAGTTTTATACTTACATAACAGTCAGATGCGGTCAGCGTACGTTTGGGAGTATCCTTATAGGTTAGACACGAGTCGTGGAGTAAATTTTCAAAGTTGTTCAAATCGACCAGCTGTATAACATTTAAAACGTCATCATATAATATCCTCCGATATTTAGAATTAAATGTATTACACCTAAAGATTACGTAGCAAAAATGTATGTTTTTCTTTACTTAAATGACAAATAAGTTTTAATGCTTAGTTAAACCTTATTCGAATAAAATACATTTTAGATGTTGATATTTTTGATAATATTTTAGGCAGATTTTACATAATCAAATTTTGTATTATGCTCGTATACTACCCATATAGATTGTTTTAATATATGTATATATAATATATATGTATATAGATTTGTATTTTATATGAATTTTGATATTGCAATTATGTACCTGCATTATGGAGTTCTTTGTAATAGCTCTGGCGTACTGATTAATGTCGTATGTTTGAAGCGCTATTGAACAGAGTGCCACCATTAGACTCAGGCCAAACCATTTCTTATGTACTTTCATAAAGTCAAAAATTGTCAACTTAAAAGTTGATGAAATACGTCTGATTTGTATTAATAGAGTCTCACTCGATTTTTGTTTAATATAATCCATGATGATCGTAATACCTGTGTAGGTACAGTAATTTAACAATAAAAAAAACAAATTGTATTATTTAAGTTGTTGTGTAGGAAATTGTATAGTACGATAAATTTCTTTACCTGCAAACCAGCGTCGAGAGAAGTGTTTTTTCTATGACTTTCAGTCGTCAAGTCCAGCGCGACAGTGAACGATTTTTCCTATATCTCTGGGGATATTACACCTATACCTACACTCGTTTTCCAAACCACTGATCCAGACAATTACATTACAGATATTTTCTTACTCGTTGAGTTAAAAGAAAATCAATAAGGTTATGTGTTACGATTTATACGGGAATAAAAAAAAAATACTCGTATGGGGATTTATGACAGGGAGTAGATCCTGTTTAGGCCTTGTTCGGTTGTCGGGGAGGCAACATTTTCAGTTTGAGGTTTCAGCCAAGATGACTGATTTTGGCTATCCGAGACGGAATCGGACCGATTCATGTCGAACCTATGACACTGAGTGCAAAAACACACATTGTCACCTTAACACCTATAAATATATATATAAATTACATTTACGAAAGGGAATTATTGAATTAGTAAATACTGCAATATTTTAAAGTTACGGACTACGGTGAAAAAATCGATTAAAAATTGAAATGGATTTTTTTAACAGGTTACTGTCTCGACCACATTGTACAAGGGGTAAAATTTGTATTATCGTCACCCTATCAAGCACCTTTCAAATACAATTTCTCATTTGTGGTCTTGCTAAATGAAGAAATAGGTTGAGGGATTTAAAAGAAATCGTGTAGGTATCAAAACACACAAAAAAAGGAAAAATTAAAACACATTATTGTAAAAACAATATCTTCTCAGTTCCACATCGAAGCCAAAAAGATGTTCGAGAAGTGTATTTGTGCATATGAAATGAAATTTCTTTCGCAGTTGTGTGGAATTAAGTCTTAAGTAGATTAGCTCAATAATTATAATCAAACATATTTTATACTGTACTATAGCTGTTCGTGCATTCGACTTGATAGTTTGCAAATAAAAAATATATGTTTTATAAATACTTACCAAGTAATTGTGTAAGTGTGGTAATTAGCGAATTTAAAATGATCGTAACACATTATAATAAATCTTCATGGATTAAAATAAGTTTCTAGAAATTCATCCTTGAATTTGCCTAGTCTTTAATCGCACACATAATATGATATGTTTTCCTCACTTTCAGAATGGATAAGTACCGACTAGTTTGTGATTTCATCCATTTATCAATTTGGTGTATCAAAGTCCCATGCATAGACTTAAGTCTCCCCGTGAATTAAATGGGTGGTGACACAATGAAGAGCCTGCCAAAGGGTTGCTTTTCATTGGACACGTATACCATAGGTTCATGGGATTTGGGAATCTAAAAACCTTAAAACAATTAGTACTACATATATTTTTATTTCAACAACCTCTCATTAAAAAATAAATGTAGGTATTCTGAAAAGCACTACCACAAGTATTAAGGGTTTCAGTACCCTACAGCCCCCTCCCAAATCTCCACCCCGTGTACAGATTGGCTGGCGGATCGCAGAGTACACTGTGGTTATATGTAGTCCTAGTACTGCAGCATAGTTATCAATAATTTTATGGCGGTTTTGTATCTATAATATTTATTTCCAAAAACCTGTCACATTTATTTCGGTAAGATTTACTTCGGTGACGATAAATTATTTTGATTTACCCTCCGTAAAGAAGTTTTAATTTTTTCAAATAGAAATACTACAAAATTGTAATTATTTTCGGAGAAAATGAGTGTCTTAATAGTTAAATGGATCACTCGGTATTTCAACTGTTGATGTCTGCCTGTGTCTAAAAATCAAACAACAAATACAAAAGCTAGCTACGATATTTAATATTAAAATTGTTACATTTGTATAATTTGTTTTTTACTAGAATCTCATATGTATATCTTTTTGTAAAATAATAATGAAAGAATATAATATATATACTATTTTTTGCTTTCCTACAAGATTGCACCTGAACAAATATCTTCATCCGTTGAAATTTCATTTTAGAGTAAATGGTTCTTTTATCCATTTATAATTTCTTTTAGAACAAGTAACTAACGTCTTATTATAACGTTTTATATTATCTTAACTTATAAAATATTTATCAACGTGAAAAAAAACTTTAATACACTCTAATACTTAATATATACACTTGTTTAAACGCTTTTAAGAACGTTCTGAACTTAGGTATACAATATGAACGGTAACAGTTGCAAACTGTGTGGTCTATATAGGGTGATCTATGTAATTCTAAACTTAATATAAAAACGATTTTGTAGTTTTATGTTTTGAAAAAATGTTTGTTTATGCTATTTTACAAAATTATAAAATTAATAAATAATTTCCCTTTTTATTATTTTCCAGAGATCTATTAATATTATTATTACGCAGGAAAAATTATTTTAAAGATTTAGCTTTATCATAAGTATTAAAAAAATGCTTATTTGTAGTAGGTAAACTGCTATACTCAAGGGTGCTTTTAAAACACGCTTAAATACAAATGTTTACAACAATTTGCATTGTCAGAATGGTATAGTCAAAAATTGTAAACTAAATATAACATTAAACATATAATAAAATAATTATATTACATTATATATAAATGAGATATTATTAATAAAATGAAATGAAATTACATTTTCTATTTAATACAAATTTAATTAATTTATTATTGGTAATACATTTTTCTGAGCCCCTTAAACAGTTTGACTATGAATTGGACCAATTATGCTATCATATAATTACAATAAAATAACAAACAAGATTTAAAGAGTAATTATTATTTATTATTAATATGCAATTTTTACAATTAATAATAATAATAAAAATGTATTAGTCATTTTTATTATTCATGTATTCATTAAAAAATGTATTTACATAATTTTTGATAAATTGTTTACCTCATTTAAACTATTTACAAACTTACAATTTATCAACCATCTTTAAAATATGATGTTTCTCTTGTTCCTGCCATTCTTTATCGCCATCTTCGCCTAAATTACCAGCATATTCTGTAATAAAAAAATTACACATTGCAGTAATTGTTTCCATGAAAACATTCCTTTTTTTAGACAAAGGAATTTAAAATAAAATATTTAATACATATAGAATGGTTAAATTCACACATGAATATTAAATTAGTCAATGGAACCAACATGACAGGATACCTCTCATTATCTGCCTGATGGTTTTTAACGTGTCTCCTCTCATGTTTAATATGTGTGTGACTCGTTTTTTAATACTTGGTCCGCTATCACAAACTTCTAATATGATGTAATCGACCAATTGTAAAGTGAATAATCCTCCATTCAATCTCTTAAGGTAAACCTCGTCTTCATCTTCGTCGCCCTTTATACAAAATACGTACATTAAATTTCTAACCTAATTGGTAAAAGTTTGCTATAATACTGTTTTTCAAATGTTACTTTTTCGTCAATTTCGGCATCAATTTCTTCAACTTTTTCCATGTATTTAAAATGAAGTTCCATTAATCTATCGACTTTTTCCAAATCGTTTTCAACAAACTTTGTCATAAGACGTTGTCTTTGTGTGCCACGGCAGTTGCGTATCATATTGGCAATTATTGAAACCACGTGTTCTAAAAGAAAAAAGTACTTTTAATAAAACAGCTTTTTAACTTTAATAATTAAGTAGGAAGTTTTTTATTGGCCGAGGTGTATCGTTATATATAAACTACCCTTAACAGTAATTTATAATACTAGAAGGAGAGGTACTGCCAAAATAACCAAAATAAAAACAGTGTTAAATATATCATAAAAAAAAAAAAAAAAATGTCAGATGTGCTCATTTGTACAAATACTATTGTGTTTTCCTCCTTTGTATTCTGCAATTCAATTTTCCTCAAAATAATCTAGTATTATTAAAATTAAAAAACTTTTGAAATTCAAATGACAACCTTAACATAATATTCTAATCACACTTTTATCATTTGCTTAAATACTTTTTCCAATTTTGGCTTTGACCTCTTAGAAGAGACAAAAAAAAAAAGAACTATTTTAATAATTATTAGTAACCTTCATGTTCTTCTGTGCTAAGCATTTTCTTTCGATTCTTCTTTGGAGTTTTCATAAACAAAGGAAATATTGTTCTAAGCCCCAATATATCAACAAACTTGTTACAATTTTCTTTTCCCTGAGGGCCTGACAAGGCATGGTTTAACACTTTTAACGAACCATTGCGACTTAACTTCTTCTCCCTAAAAAAAAAATAATTAATGCATTCATCTTTTTACACATAAAACTGAAATAAAATAATTTACCTTAATATTAAATTCATTAACTGAAGTCCTTCACCTTTCAAAAACCGATCTCTGTTTTGTTTATCCATCAGGCATGAGCATAGACAGTCAAATAAGTTTTCCATCATCTCCTGTTCATCTGTTGATGCCGGATCGTGTCTTTTATAGTACTTAGAAAAATAATTAACCATATTATAACCAAATTAAGCCCTAAATTGACTAAATTTGTTATATACAAGTTTTAGGTTATATATCAAGTGTAAATGGTAGCAAAATAATTTTCAGCGTAACTTACAGCTAGTTGTTGAAGTAAAATATCGATTCCTCCAATTTCACCGACTAAAGCTCGGTTTTCTTCATTATTTTGTAGCAATATTGATAAAATTTCACTACTATACAGTTTGTTACCATCGTATGGCATTTTTGCTTTAATTCGTTTCAATAGCCACTGAATCAAACCTTGTTTGCCGACATCGACTACAACATCAGGCCTAAGTTCCATTATGTTTTCAAATATTCCTAATGTTGTGTGTACACCATTTGCTTCTTCTTTAACGGATTCATCCATGCGTTCTAAATTTTGCACCAACAAAGCACATATTTGCTTGCTAAGCAACGCATCAATCAATATTTCCGTGCCTTCTTCATTTTCATTTAAGGTATCAATGTCGGTTAATTCCTTATAACATTTAAAATTGCGATTAAATAAAATAAATAATACAAATTAAGTTATAAAAAATAATTTATACCTGTAACAAGTTAACAACTGCAACAGCTATATCAGTATTTTCGTGTGACAGTAGTTCAAGTAGTGACACAACAGCCTTTAAATTAACCAATACTGGATATAAGTCTGGTACTGTGGCTATAGCATGCATTTCTGTTATAACGTCATGCAATTCAATTTCTGATTCCATAAATCTATGTATAAATATTAACACAAATGAAATATTACGCCAATTGATAGGTAAATGTATAATTTTTTGTTATAAAGTACTTTTCTGGATTCTCGGGAAATTTTATTCGCATTTCTTGGTTCTTCAATACTTTTTTTTCAAACAACAAAATCATTCGTTTTAGAGCTGTTTCATCTAAGATTCCTTCCTAAAAAATTTTTTTTCTAAAGTGACATGTTATTGGTAAAGTAAGTATAATCCATACGAATTTAACAGTTATTCATATTCATTAAAGATTAAGAGCCCAATTTTCACTGTTGATATAATAACAATTTTATTACTCGGAAAAAAAATTTACTTATACTAAAAATTAGAAAAAAAATCAGAAAATAATTTAATAAAGATATATAATTCATGTATAGTTTTTACAATTTTTATTTATAATAGAACAACTTTTTCATTAGATTGGCATTATGGATACTTTTAAAATAGGCTTTTTATAAAACAAGCTGTTAAGCATAACAATGTGAATGTATCAAAGTTAAAATAATAATGTTCTAAGTACATTTTCACCCAAAATTATTTGCTGTATTATGAGAAAAATATACAATAAAATAGGACAATGGTGTTTAGTGTTAACTATGACTAATCAAAAAGTATAATCGCTAGATTACAAACTTTTCCTATTATTGCGCATTTGCACACTTGCTCTTAGTCATGAGAGATGTTACAATGAGAAATTAGCACTGTAATACTATTTTTTCCACGTCTGGGGAAGCATTTTCTTGCACAGTATTATCTAGCGGTTATGCCTGTTTATGCAGTCATGGTGTTAACCAATTGCATTAACAATGATAATAACGTTTTGGTACTTTACAAATATTTCTCTATGAGAATTAGATTTTATTTTAACATACTATTGTGTATTTTAAAATTAATGTAAATTGTTATTATATTATGAATGTTTATTGTCAAGCCTGTTTTCCAATTACTTACATCAGAGTCAGCTAAATTTTCATCAACCAACTTCTGGACCATTTCTTGGCGCTCTAGTTTTCTACGTTCCTCTTCAGCAATCCTTTCTTGTTCGGCTTTCAACCTTTCTTGCTCTTGTTTTTCAATTTGTTGGACTCGAGCTTTAGCCAAGCGCCTTAATTTTTTTTGTCTGTCGTAATCTGATTCATTCTCCTGAATTTGACTGACTTCTTCCTCGGGTAACGGCCGTTTCGGAGTGTTGGCAGGCTATAAAAAAATATTATTATATTAATAAAATAATAATTAATCAAAATTTAAGCTGAACATTATATTAAAATACTTTATAATCCAAAAGTTCTCCTATGTCCATGGTGATCAATGTAATACATAAAGTATTACAGTTCTTAAAAGTTAATAATCGTTTTCAATAATATTATACCTAACTTTGTAAAAACGCAAAATTAGCAGTCAACAGAATAATAGAGAATGTTATTTTGAACGATTTCGTTATTAACTAAAAAACACGGTACATGAAATTGATTATTGATAACAACTAAATATTTTGTTGTGATAGATGTTATCATGAAAATTGTGTTGGTATTACTTAAATTATATAATATTATATTCAGTGGTTGGCAACCATTTTCTACACTTTTGCGGCAAAAGTGAATTAACCTGTCTAATTAAACCATAGATCATTTATTCTTTCAATAAATTATAAATCTGTCATCTATATTATGTCAAAAACATTTTTTAGACAAATTTTGAACTAATTCGATTATATTACATTACGATTTATGATCTATATAGAGTTGCTACATGAAGAAATCGATTCAGTAGTTATTGATATTGATATTGTGGCCTGTGGGTTCAAACACCAAAAAATAAATAAACAAACACATTATTGTAAAAGTAGACGCTGTTAAAATATGGTTACGACCATATACAATTTGATCCTCAACGTTATACACTAAATTTAATTTAAAATAATAGTAAATTTTAGTTTAGCTGAATATGTTGATAACCACTTAAATAAATACTTTTAATGTTATTTAAGTTTAAATTTAATACGACGTTCCTCCCCTTAAAGGTATTTACGATATATTCGATCGATAACTATTATAGCATTGCTAACTATTGTACCCAGTACTAGTGTATAAATATATATATATATAGTAAATTATCTGTAAAATATTCATAATTCTAGCTCTTACATAAATTAGGTACGCTTAAGTGACTGAAAAATTAAGTTTAATTGGAAGCGTATAAAGTGTAATTATTTAACAGCTGATATTCAGTTAGTTAAGGGAAACTCAAGTATAATTTTGATGTTCAAAATATTAGTCGTGCAGTTATACTTAAGATGCCATCAACCCTAAAGACGTTTTAATCGCTACGCAGTCATTTTTAAGATTAACTATCGCTTCTTAGGCAATGCCAAAATAGTGGAATCGACTAAGTATTTTATTAGCTTAAGGAAAACTTTGATGACATTTAGATAAACAAGTTTTGTCAGTCACACTATTAAGTTTTATAATATTTTTTGTTTTATTAAGTAGGCTAATTGTTCATGCAAAATTATTTTATACACTTAAAAAGTCAACACGTTTATATACTTTTACCTGTAAAAATAAAAACCTTAAAATATAAATTAACAATTCAATATATAATAATAATTGTAGCTTTAAATGTACTAACTTAACTATTAAGAATTATGTCAAATAGCCTACTAAAAAAGAGGTACTGCCATTTTCTTGTGCTATTTAACATAAAAATCTATCATTTATAATTTTGTGATAAATTTATAAATTATTATTGCTATTAATTATGTTAAACCCTTAAGAAACAAAGATTATTATTATATATTTACTTAATACTATTGATTATAATATAGTACTATGACAAATGGGATAAATAAAATTAGGTATGCATAATTAAAGACTAAGGGCGGTGATGATAGTAAAGATGTACCAAATAGATGTATATTATATAAATATTTTGATTTTTTTTAGACAGTTTTGAACTAATAATAATTATATATACCCATTAAAAAAATTGTAAGGAAGGGATAAATTTGCAAAATTTAAAATAGACATTGCAAAATATTGGCGGTGGTATAAGTAGGTATATAGCGAAAATTGGGGGAGAGGCTGTCAAATTCACAGACGTTTTCAATATTCTTAACTAAAATTTTTATGAACGAATAAAGTTATTTAAAATAACAAATTATTGCTTGTTCATCATAAATAATTAATTAGGTTTCTATTCTTAACTTTTATATATTTTTTATTCGAGTTGCTTAGGTCTCTGTTGGCATAAAATACAATTTACTGTAATAATCATACTGATATATTATTTTATATAATTATTAAGGAAAATACATATAATTTAAAATACATTACCTATTAGAAACATGAAATATACGTATATCGCAACTACTACATACGTGCAAGCATCACGCAAATGAAAGTTCTTTAGTAGGGTAACTACCTACTTTACTAGGATAAGCATAATATTATAAGTACTAATTTAATGTAATCCGTCCAAGACGCATAATTCATGTACACAGTTATTTTCTCATAATTACAGTTTACCAAAATGTATCATGTTATTTAATTAAATAATTTCATTTGGCAAATAAACTTTACAACAATGTTTCCACTGTACTATTCGCAAAATTCGTTAACTTACGATAAAATATGCGTACCATCAATAACTAATAACTAACATAAATGCTCTAAGCATTTTATTGACTTACTTAGTTTTTGCTTAACAAATATTCAAAGGCGTGACTAGACATTTAAATCAAAGGATCAGCGACATACTTATTTTTGAAAGGCTATGTACATTTTTTTAAGTAAAAAATATTTATTTAAAACTAATACCCCTTCCCTGTTCCTTAGCCTTAACTTAAAACGTTTTAAATAATAAATATGTTAAACACGTTGGTTGTTGAAAAATTAATTTATAATAATTAATAAATTAAGTATTACTTTTTAAATATAGGTACTTTTCTAAAACCTTAAAATTATATTTATTTGATAACTGTTTATAACATACGAAATCACTAATAGCTTCTATCACTTTTATTTCATACAAATAACAATTGCACGTTTTATTTTATTTTTGCAGAACTATAAAAATACCTCATACTATATTTGTTTTTCTTGTTTCTATAATAATTTGTATTCAAATGAACAAAACGGCTTGTGCTTCACAATTGTTTCACATTTATTTGATAAAAAAAATAGTTCTCTCTAAAAAGTCTAATTGTCTAAATGTTGTTACTGATTCTTCTTTTAAAAGATTTTTATCGCGCAAGGATTCTAAATGTGTTACAATACTAGATAATTCTTCAACGCAATTATTTTAACACATTACTTAATGCATCTAAAATAACAAAATATGTATATGTTTAAATACAACCAATTATTTTCAATTGTCATTGGATAACTTATCAAATAAATTAAATGTTTTGAGGCTCATTTATTTATTTTTATTCAAATAAAAATTAAAGTAGATGGAATGTCTTAATTGTAAATTAAGGCATTAACCTATTTTTAACATTTAGGAACTTTAGGTTATTGCTCTCAGCTCTATTAACCTTGAAAATGTAATGTTTGTCTACGGTCAGTGGTATAAATTAAACCATTATCAGTAGTTAATAATAATTTATAATGTAAGTAGCTTAACATACCTTGAGTGTCCAATGTTGTAATCATGAGATGGATTTTTGGGAATTCGCTTTCGGGACAGGTCGTCAGTCCGTCGCCGTAAAAAAGGATGCAAAAAAAAGGAATGATAAGAATTTGAAATTAGAAAATAAATAAACATTAGAAGATCAATAATTCTTGAAAACTATGCGGCATCAATATTATGTTCCAAAACAAGTATTACTACCAGAAATAAAATGAATTGATGAAATTGATTTTTTATCACTAAATTCCTAATTTTGTTACAGTACTGTTACATAATGATTTTTTAGTAAATATTTAAAAAAAAAAATAAGAAAGACTTATTCAAAAAACATTTTTATGAACCATTAATTAAATATTTACAACGTTAACCAAGTTTCCTTTTTTGTTTGTTTGCTATACACTTGTTGTTGGTAACTCTTGACTCCTTTCTTGGTAAGTTTTGTCTCTAATTTGAATAGTCTTGTTTGCCCGAAAAGTCATGGCCAGAAATTAACATTGTCAATTCATTCAGTTTACTCGTTGAAGAAACCCATTGTCTTTTGTATATTAAATAATTCAGCACTTGATTTGGGTTTTATACTTTGTCCTAGCTTACACTTTGAGAGTATCTACCTTCAAGCTACTTACGTTCATACGTTTTATGAAAGAGTTTACTTGGATTTTGTAATGTGAGTTCGCATTGCTTTGTTGAAAAGTCTTATAGTAAATAATATATTATAAGATGTAGTACCTTGTGCACGGATACATGCGAAAACTTCAAATAACAACATTTTAAATCTTCAATTATTGGAATCTGAAAATCTTTAAATCTGACTTAATTTTAATGGATATTTATTGAAATTGGTATTTTATTAAAATAAAAAACTCTGAATTAATAATTCTGGAATTGATTTTACCTGGAAACGATCAATTAAAAAATGTTTAAGTCTATTTACTTGACACATTGGAAAGGTCATAAAATTTCTGTTTCTGACCCCTTAAACTATACATTACCTTGACCATTGATGTAGAATGAGGGAGGGGAGCTTAAGCTTATCCCCCAAACGAATTATTTTTAAACCAGTCACAAACCGCCAGAAAAGCTTAATCCACAAAAAATTAAATTTAGTTTTATTATATTTAACATTTTAACATTTCAAGACCAAACTGACCCAACCTTAAAAAAAAATTGAACCCCAAGACTTCTTTTTTTTAAAATTAACATTTAAACTATTATAGTTGGCTTTTTCTTGAAATAATGGATTTGTGGGCTAAACTTTTCTGACGCTATACGCCTCAAATAATATATACCACGGGTCTGTGGTTAGAACATTTTAAGAGGAATATAGCTCCCACCATCAATCACGGTATGCCTATGACAGTACCCGAAAGTTTAACACATTGAGATGGAACCTTTTTTTTTATCAAAACATAAATCCTAGTACATTTAACTTTAGTTTTACTTGGGAAGTAGCAAGACCAGTTTACTTTTATTTAGATGTTTAGGTTTTGCATTAGTCATTATTTTAAAATAATTTTTTGAAGAGCTTTTCAAAAATTGGTTAGCATTAAATCCATTACTTCCTCTACGCTTATAAAATCAGATAAAAAAAAATTATTGCTCTATAGGAACTAAGTGATTTGTAGCTTAAAATTTTGTAAACTTATTTTGTGTAAACTATGTATATAACAATTTATAGTTAACTAAATTATATTTTAAATCGCAATGTATTTTTATGTCAATATTTGTACATATTAACATTTACCACATAAACACAAAATTACCGCAAAAAATAATTGTTAGTACCTAGAAGATCAACTTTCATTTTCCACAGACAGAAAAAAATCTGATAATTATTATTTTAGTAAAAGTGTGTAATATGTATAAAAACCGTAATTATATTATAAAATATTATACAACCACAATAGTTTTGTTTAACTTCAACCTTTAAGTTTAAAATTACCAAATTCAACGATCAATGAAAGAACTATTAATATAAGTAAAAATACGAGTCAACATAGTAATTTAAATATTAAAAACCTTAATTTACCGTTATTACACATTAAACAAATTGTTTTTACTTTTACAGGTCATTAAATTTGTGATTTGAAAAATACTTTTACGAGAAGTCCTTTTATATAGGAACTGAGATTTAATTAAAGTAAAGGATATTAAATTACACATTTTAAAAAAATATCTAGAGATCCACTTACATTCTTCGACATCAGAGCTACGAAAGTATTTAATTTAAAGGTTACATTTTCTTATTGTTAATTCTGTAGTATTAGAGAAAAGGAGGATAAATAAGAATAAAAAACATTTTGGAGTAACCGACCAACTAAAATGTTTATTAGATTTTATTCAAATGAAAATGTTAATGTATTACTTATATATTATTATTTAAGTTTCAAAAGTTGGCAAGGATCTGAAGCATAAAACAAATTAAACGTTTAGTAATTTGATATTAATGTAATACCAATTATACATTGTAATATTTTATAATAACGAATAAAATCTGTCACGCTAAAAAAATAAAATAACATTATTAAACTCATTCATTGTCTATACAATTATTTACAGCTATTCATTATATGAATTAATAATGATTTTCACCAATTACAGTTTCGCATCAGAGTTCATTTTTTATTTTTTTCAAGTGAATTTATCACCTCTGACCCCAGTGTGTTGGGTTTTTTTTTATGTCGGTTTTTCGACATCAGCGATTGTAATTTTTATGAAAAAGGTATTGAAAATGTTCGGTAACGCTGCGCGGTGGGCAACAATAACGCCAAGGGAAAATTCTGGGATCGGCTTAAATAACAATAACAAACGGTAACAACGTCGGTAGCGACAAAAGATAAAAAAAAAAATCTATATATATTTTTCATAGATCATTGTGTCGGTGCACGTGAAGCGTTCGAGTAGGTGTCCTCGATAGTAATTAAGCAATTATAATGAATGAAGATTTAACGAGACAACGCAGACCAAGGTTTTTGTTGGTACGACGGTGGGGGTAGAGGGGGTGGGGGTAAACGCGGGAGTCACCGTCGTCGTCGACGCCGCCGCCGCGGCCGCCCGTCGGCGGAGCTCTATCTGCCGGCGGAGCGGTGTCCGTCCACTGCCGTTGCCGCCGCCGTAGACGACCGTAGTGGTGTCAGCGGCTTTTTGGAGCCCGCGCCGTCGTGTGTAGTTGTCGCGCACCGGCCGAGTCAAACCGACGGGTGGACACACATTCGCCGTTTCGTTCGTCCCACCCTTTCCGTCCCCGCCCGCAACAAGTGTTCAGTGGACGCCGTGCAAACACGATACACACAAGCACTCACGCACTCATACACTTCCTCACAAGCATTGCACGTACACAATACACTACACTACACACACACACACATAATAAATACACTGAGTATAGGTACACAGGCGTACACGAAATTCACTACATACTCACACATTCACGCAAACATTCGTCGCCGTTGCCGTCGACAGAGATCCCGCTGCTACAGGTCGAGTTGGCCCCTAAACGTCCACCGTAAGTCCCAAATTATGCCTAAGCCTAATTACCTGTTGTAATATATTGTATATATATATATAACGTGTATGTCTATCGCTAATTTACAATATTAGGACTATCACTGACGGTGAGTACACTGGCCGGCCTCGTCATACGCTTGTCAGGTTTATTCAACGTTATAAGTGCACTTTTTGTTATCGAGATATTGAGTTATGTATAGCAATACACATTCCAATAGTCTTCTATACACTGTATAATACTATACATATTGAAAGACAGAGATTTATTGTTTTACATGTAAATACATAAATTCTGTAAGGTAATTGATATATAAAACTGCAGAACAATAACTAAAACTATCTAAACACTGAAATCAGACTAAAGTTGACTATACAAATTGTTACGTTTTACAATGGATTTTTAGAACCAATAACGAATTATTATGGTTGTATGTCAGAGTTTTTCTTTTAACTATTATTGTTTAAAAAAATATTTGCCAATTCATAATATAATTTAATGAAGATAACAAGACGTGTTTCACTCCAAAAACATGTCTTACGGCAAAACGAACGCCTCGTAGAATGACTGTTTTTGATATTATATTTTTGGTTAAACTTGGAGAATTCCTTCAGTGCGTATAGATTTCTAAAATTTCAATAATTCCTACACGGTACGGTCAAAATAAGGGTTTGAATTTTAGAATTTTTTTTCTAACTTTAAATTTGTGTTATTTTTGGCAATTTAATAAAATATAAAAAGTATTCTTCTCTTAATCAAACTAACAAACAATCTCCCTTCAGAACCGAAGCAAAACCCAAAAAGTGTACATATTTTTCAACTTAGGTATAACTACGGCGTTCTATAAAATTTTTAAAAATAGTCAAATTAGTTTCAAGCTTGTATGGAATATTCTTATATAATATTCTTTTTTTATTAAGAAAAAACCAAAAATAAAATTATCTTTGGACCGTTAGAAATTTCTAGGTTGCCATGTGCGATTGAATCAATAGTCAAGAGTTTTTAGAAAATAGTTTCATTATATTGTATGCGATGTATGGATAACAACGGCAATAAAATATAATAGTCATAGATAGACGATCAACATGGCTAATGGTATCCTCCCTAATATTAAAAATATAATTTTAAGCAAATTATGTATATCTTTTAAAATGCTATATTATCGATTTATGTATTTTTACCATCTATATATTCGCTTCGAAGCGTTTTTGTTTTAAAGTGATTTTATAATTTTTAATTACCTATAATAATTCCTGTAGACGGGTGACAATGTACTGGCTTATTTCTATTTAATATTGTATTATGCAAAATAGATTGAAACCGTTTTTCATTGTTAATTTCAATATTATTATCGTGAGTATAAATTACATAATGTAGTATTGGGCCTCTGGAAAATATTTTTAAATGTCAAAAAAGTTTTGCTCTTTAAATGAATTTAAATTAGATTAAATGTATTTTGACCTAGAAGAAACCCGTATAAAGTTTTTAAGTCGTACGTATGTGTAAGTGTATGTGTAAGGAAGTTTTATAACTGCAATCAATATTTAAGGTATTCATGTGATTCAGTTGGTATTACAGAAGCGAACTGAATAAAATCCTTTGGAAATCGCTTGTAAGCGGTTTTACATACCATTTTGTGATTTTGATAAAAGTAAATATTCAGCATTTTCTTTTAAGAAAATAACGGTGAAAACCCTTTTTGCTGCACGATTTAAAAAACACTGAACAGTGAATGGCTGTCTTTAGATAATGATTCTTTGGTATTTTATAATCTGAATTATTTTTTCATTAAAAAAATGAACGTTGATGAGTAAGGTCGATTCACATATAAAAGGTTGAACAAAAAAAAAAAATTGGTAATAAATATTATTTATTATATTCAAGGAAATTCGCTGTTATCTGATTGATGTAAACCTGTAAATTAAAAATAAATGCACCATTTTTGAGAAAACTGACGATTTAAAGAAAAAATGCAAAGTCTGGTGTAAGCTAAAAAAAAAGATGATTTCGCAAAATTATTGAAACATAAATAGATCATTAAAAACCAATTTAGGTACAATTTTGTGTACAAGTATAAAACTGTACAATTAAAATATAATTATCAAAACTTTATTGTATGTATAATGCGTTTAATGCACACTAATTGATTTAACAGTATATTTCCAGTAAGTTAAAAGCTTGCCTTATATATTGTATAGAAATCGGTTTTGACGAGACTGTGATGTGCTTTCTTTCCTCTATACATTATAAAGTTTAGCTTAGAAAACGGATTGTTTTAAATTTTAAAATTAGTATAATGGTTTCACGTTACTGTTATTTGATTGACAGTATTTGTCTGATGGTTGATATTATCAACCATCAACTTGATAATAGTCCTGAAATATTATAACGATGGTTGTAATTATTATTGTTACATAATTATACAATTTTTAAAACGAATTTAATACACGGTTTTAAACGATAATGTTTAGGGTCTCTTAAATTAGTGTTAAATAACGAGTTAGCGTTTATTTTTAACACATCGGTATAAAACTTTTCTATAGAAAATCACAGAACTAAAATTAATTTATAGGCAAAATTAATGTAAATTTTGGAAATTGGATTTGGCTTTAACGGCGTGGTAATTTATTTGATTAACCACGATCAAGAACCATTACTTTGAATCACCTAATTAGTATTCCCAAAACAACCATTTCAACTGATATTCACTCTCGGGGTTAGGGAATAACCATCGACTATAGTACCGAGTACACAAGGGAGATGGTTTTATATAGTTTCCGGTTTGTGTATCGCGTCAACTTGTTGCTGATGACAGAAACTATACAAATCCCTTTATCAGTGTTGTCGGTACACCACGAAGAACATGCATTTATCTTTATTTTTAATTATTACCCACTTATTAATAGCTTCATAAAACATATACATAACTTCTAGATTATAATTTATACATTTTACATTAAATATTAGAAAAAAAAAGAGCAACTAGAATAATTGTGAAGTATACTATTATATGTTTCTTATGATATAGCCGGAGGAAAATGACAAAAATTGTGCGACTTTAGCTGATTAAATTTCAATTGTAAAAATACAAGAATTTGTTGTCCGCTTTACTAGGTTATATAAAAAATCGTCTTATATTAAAAAATTCAGTTTTTTGTAATAGAATAAATTTACTTTGCAATTTTAGCTTCGGTGCTATTTTAATATGAAATACATTTTTTTACATAAAAAAAATATCGGTTTCTAACATGACCAAGTAAAGTAGCCAAAGAACTCATATATTTTTATAGAATGAATATAGGGGCATCCTAAGTAGACAAAATTTTGTTCTAAAACGTCAGAAAAAACAGCCCGATTTCAAACCCCTCGAGTTAATCGTATTAAACAAGTTGGTACCACAAAACAAATGCGCAGCTTTGTCTTTTATTAAATAAAGTGGTTTCAGTGGTTTTTTTCTTTTATTATGCAACTTTCGTTTAGCTAATAATGTATTAATGGTCTTTTGGTACTTCGATGATTTTATAATGGGAACATTTAGGTAAATAATACGACATAGTAAACAGCAGTGATGCGAGTACGCGATTTAAGTATTAAGGCCAATAAACACTCCATCGGTAGTCAGGCAATATATATGGTTGGCAACACTGAGAAGTCTTGTTTGCCTATTAGTGGGCGAAAGAGGAAAAGCAAAGCAAACAAAGTCTGTTGCGCCAAAGCCGAAACTGCGGGGATAACAGTTTTGTAATGATCGAAACGCGGGTGCACCCGCCGTCCTGTCTTACCCGTTCTCTTTTATCCGGCAGACTTATCCCGAAGTGCATGAATAATTTATACCCATCCAAGGGACTCAAAAAGTAATAGCTGTTTTTCTGGCGTGGAGATATATATATATATATATACATACACACAGGTCGAAGGATTTTAAAAGGAAAATGACAATAAAAAAAAAGGGGCCCGAATATTGTGTTTACCGTCGTCTCGCCAGATGTCCCATATTGATTATTAGTTCCAATAGCAAGTGTTTGCACTTGGATTTTAAGGGCAAATTTTGTTCGTCAAACTATCAATAGTTGAAATGTATAATTAGCAGCAATATATAATATTACCACATGTAATAGAATGATGATTAATTAGCGGGAAGCCTGTAATTTTCCGAATACTTTACTGCGAACAGTTTTGCTAGGTATAACCAGCTACCGGCTACGTCTAAAATACACGATTAAAATCACACCTTCTGGTTCAAAAATTAAAAAATTATTTAGTCATAAGATTTTATATAGTTTTATCGGGTCAAATATAAAAAGCCCAATAACTTAAATATAAAAAAAAATATAGATTTAAGGCAATATTAGATGTACAAATTAAATAATTAGAATGAGCAGAATGGACTAAACGGTATAAATATTATAAAGTTTTAAAATTATATTTTGAAAAAAATGTCGAATACTTTTTTATTTTTATTTTTAAAATACAATGTAATCGTCAACTGAACATATATGTATCAGAATAAGTTTAAAAGCATAAATATAGTTTAGTTATTATTAACAATATTACTACTAAAAATTATGAAAAAATATAAACGCTATATTATTAATTTTATTAAGATTAAACATACGTTTTTTTATATTTAGTTTCCTATAACTGTTTTGACCCTTTTTCAACAGACTTGATTGAAAAATTATAAGAAATAATCTATACATTTCAATACTACAAAATATACATTCACGTCAGTGTTTTTTTTCTTTCGATTTTATGACTTTTAAATTAATCACTCAACCGTTTTTGCGTTAAATACTTTCTATCCTGATTTTCTAATTAATTTTTGGGTTGATTGCGTTCTATTCTCGTTATGCTCGTGAGTTTCATTATGACTGCCGGCAAACGTTGTTCAGAAATATTCATTCCCGTGCACTCTTTGTTTTTGCACGAATGAATTATTCAACATTTTTCATTACTACTCACTACACAACCCCTCGATGACATACAGTGTCATGATTTAT